CGTCCTAGAGTCCCGCCCTGCCTGAGCTGCCGCCAGTGGTGGGAGCAGAGCACTGAGCTAAGGGGACCGCGCTAGGCAGAACACCGGCTCTCTGGCCAGAGACGGGGACCCGAGTCTGAAAGCTGGTGACACTGGGTTGCAGGTGCGCGGCGACCCCGAGCGCTAAGCGGATCCCGAGAGCGCGCGGCTCAGCCCCGAGCAGGGGCTCCCTAGACTACCCTCCTGCCTCCAGGAATCAGAGGTGAGCGCTGGGCTGTCAAGGCGCGGTTCTAGCTAGGGCTCCGTGCTCGGAGGTCCCTTGTCCGTGGGATATCAGATCGGTAAACTAGGGACAGTTTCTCTAGAGGACAGTGCCCGAGTATGACAGGATGGTGCATCCCAGAAGCTGCACCTCTGGCCGGGATGACGGCGGGAGGGGCGTCCTCCGGGTCCGCCCCTGGGGACGTGCGGCCCGGGCGGGCACCGAGGGACCTAGGTGCTCAGCGCCTCCGGCCTCTGCGCGCGGCTTCGGGAGCCGGCAAAGTTTGCCTCCCTGGCCCAGCCTGTCCTTCTGTTTCCGCGGTCCCACAGGTGCCGCTTTTCCTCGCCCCCAGCTGCAGCGGCGCCACCATGGAGTCCCCGGTCCAGATCTTCCGCGGGGATCCGGGCCCCACCTGCGCCCCGAGCGCCTGCCTGCTTCCCAACGGCAGCGCCTGGTTCCCGGGTTGGGCCGAACAGGACGGCAACGACAGCGCGTCCTCCGAGCCCGCGCAGCTGGAGCCAGCGCACATCTCCCCCGCCATCCCGGTGATCATCACCGCCGTCTACTCCGTGGTGTTCGTCGTGGGCTTGGTGGGCAACTCGCTGGTCATGTTCGTCATTATCCGGTGAGCCTGGGGCAGGTGCCGCAGATGCCGCGAGGGCAGGGAGGGAGGGTCGAACCCCGCACCAGGACGGCGCTGGGACAGCTGGAGGGGACTCTAACCTGCGCGGAGTTCAGGATTCTCCGAGGGTGGCCTTTTGGAAGTGATGAAGGATTTCCTGAGAGAGTGTTTGGGTGGAGACTGCCAGGTTTTAGCGGGGCAGATCCTAGAGACCAGAGATACCCTGATGACTTAAGAGCTATCTCCCAGATCCCACCCAGGGCCCGTGACCTGCTGGAAACTCTACCTGCCCGGAAACCACCAGGGTGAGGACAAGGCCAGTCTCTCCAACCGCATGGCCTTGAGACTGGGCGCCTGAGCCGGTGTGGACACGGTTTTGCTCTTTGCAAATGTTTCTTAAGATAAATCTCAGGCCCACCGAATGCACTGAAGATAGCTTGGAATTTTATGACTCATCGCAGTGGTGTTAGGGCTTGGGAGAGAAAGTCAGTGTGCTTCATGGGTTTGGAGAGCCATATCAAAAGCCATATCCTTTTTAGCACTGAACTGCCACACCATTTGTTTAGTGATTTTTGTCAATAAGCCATCTAATACTTATCCTTAAAGTATGGGCTGCACAGGTTTTCAGAAACTGCTTTGCTGCTCCCTCCCTCCTTCCCCCTCCCACACACCATGAAGAATGAAAGGGTTTATTTTATTGTTCTTTTTGTGGAACTTTGTCAACTTCTAATAAATATCCAAATAACCACATATATACTCGTTTTCTGATAAGTGAAGTGATTTTAATTTAATTAAATTTTAAATTAATTAATTTTGGAGAGGTTTTTGCTATAGAGAGTGTCCTCTCTCCAGAAAGACAGAGAGCAACAGAGAGACAGAAAGTGAGAAATCACCCCCCCAGGGGGGATGGCCATGCCGCAATCCCTTCTCCACCATTCTCCTCTTGGGATCTGAGCATGCACGCACACATGCCCGGCATGAATTTAAGCCAGTGATTTTTATTTTTAAAAAGAAAGAAAGGAAAGAACCCCTTCACCAACTTTGTTCTGCTTGCCCCTTGAAATGTATGTGTCTCTCCTTTGGGGAAACCTCAGCTTTGGAAATGGACCTCCGAGAGTGAACGCCAAGCTCGCCCTGCTGTGGAAGTCCCCGTGGCCTGCAGGAAGGGTGCAAGTCACTCCAGTCAGGGAGGTGGAAAGGCGGAGAGCCGATTTCTCTCTTCCTCTTTATCCTGATTTCAGTTTTGAGACAGTCTCTTTGTATTTTATGACATTAGAACAATATTTATAGTGGCATGAATCTTTCTCTTGGGAACTCATTATAATAAAAGTACCTCTTTTTTTATTATTCTGTTCTTTCCTTTTTTTGGTTTATGTTTTGGCTTGGGCATGTTAGGTCTTTTATTCTCACATATATCTGAAATGAAAAATCATCATTTAGGCCTTCAAATACAACATATTAGGTCCATTTTACCTAACAGTTAGTGTTTGTATCTCAGTATGCTTGGTTTCCGTAACTGCTTATTGCTTTTTACAAGGATTCCATCAGTGATGAATAAAGGCATTTGAAGGGGGGAGGGTATGTTAAAAGTAAATTTTTTGTCTAAGTCATTCATAAGCTGGTCTACATTAGAGTAAAGATTACAGCAAAAGAAAATTGTATTATAAAAGATAATTTAAAATTTTAGGTGATCTGGTATAAAAGCCATTTTTTGGGTGAGAGATAATTAAACTTTTTTTTTTTTAAAGGTTTTGCTGTGGGGGCGCATGCAGTCACCAGAGAGAAACAGAAAAACATGAGAGGGCAAGTGAGAAATCACCCCCTAGGAGGATGGCCATGCCACAATCCTTTCTCTTCCATTCTCTTCCTGAGATTTTGGGCACTCATATGCATACACCCAGCACGAGTTTCAATTCACCAAGTCAGGTATTCAAACTACAGTCAGCTATGTGGGAGTTCCGTGCCTTAACCACTGCACCAACTGCTGGCCCCAGTGAAACTCGAAACGTATTTATTTATTTATTTTTGGAGAGGTTTTTTTCTGGCGCGTGAGCTTGCCAGAAAGACAGAGAGAGACAGAGAGACAGAAAGTGAGAAATCATCCCCCCGGGGGAATGGCCACACTGCAATCCCTTCTCCTCCATTCTCCTCTCAGGATCTTGGGCACGCACACACATGCACCCAGCATGAGTTTAAGCCACCAGGTCTGGGACTCGAACCGTAGTTGACTACATGGGAGTCCAGTGACATAACCATTACACCAACTGCTGGTCCCAAAACGTTTTTATACAAAAGACTGAAAAAAAGACAAATTGGCTTGCATTCTACTCATCACATTTAAATGTGTAGGCAAAACATCCATATCTTATTGCTTTTTGTATGAGTTACAAACTCCCTAGTTGTTCTACAGTACTTTTTAGATTTTTACCGTAAGGCATGTACTGAAGAAAAACAGAGAGGGAGGGAAAGTGAGAAATCACGCTCCTCCCAAGGGGAACGGCATGTTGCAGTCTCTTCTTCATTTTCCTCTTGGGATTTTGGGCATGCATGCCCACGGGCCCAGCATGTTTTTTAGGCTGCCAGGCCTGGGACTTGGACATGAAGTCAGCCATGTGGGATCCAGCCACTTTAACTTCCACATCTCCAACTGGCCTGTGTTTTACAACTTTTTCATCATTTGTTTCTTTATTCATGATAGGGCATGATAGGGTGCATGTATACAGAAAGAGAGAGGGAGAGAGAAGAGCATTCTCCACAGGGTCTGGTCACTCTGTGACCCTCATCCTCTAGTCCTCCCGTCCTCTGGATCCTGGGCACTTGTGTGCACGTGTGTCTGGTGTGTTTCAGGTTGACCAGGTAGGGATTCAAACTTCAATCACCACGTGAGATCCAGCCTCTCTTAAGCAGTACATTCTGCTGCACCATGGAGATGACCCTACAACTTTTTATGTGACCCTGCAGACTAGAATTACAAAAAGAATAAGGAGTCCTAAAATAGCATTTAGATACTGTGTGTAAAGAGACTCAGCAGGAGAAAAAAAAATAAGTTCTAGATTGGCTAGGACTTCTGGTGGCTAGATTTCCCAAAGATATCCAGCACTAAATTTTGTTAGAATGGGTCAGCTAAAGTATAAGTTCGATAATTCACATAATGACATCAACCCTTCTCTCAACCCATTCTCAACTTCTTAGAGGTTAAGTATGATAATAAATGAAAAATGAAGAGTGACAAGGCCACCCTGGAATGCCAACATACTAAAACAATAGTTGGTTCTACAAAAGAAAATTGTATTATAAAAGATAATTTAAAATTTTAGGTGATCTGGTATAAAAGCCATTTTTTGGGTGAGAGATAATTAAACTTTTTTTTTTTTAACGGTTTTGCTGTGGGGGCGCATGCAGTCACCAGAGAGAAACAGAAAAACATGAGAGGGCAAGTGAGAAATCACCCCCTAGGAGGATGGCCATGCCACAATCCTTTCTCTTCCATTCTCTTCCTGAGATTTTGGGCACTCATATGCATACACCCAGCACGAGTTTCAATTCACCAAGTCAGGTATTCAAACTACAGTCAGCTATGTGGGAGTTCCGTGCCTTAACCACTGCACCAACTGCTGGCCCCAGTGAAACTCGAAACGTATTTATTTATTTATTTTTGGAGAGGTTTTTTTCTGGCGCGTGAGCTTGCCAGAAAGACAGAGAGAGACAGAGAGACAGAAAGTGAGAAATCATCCCCCCGGGGGAATGGCCACACTGCAATCCCTTCTCCTCCATTCTCCTCTCAGGATCTTGGGCACGCACACACATGCACCCAGCATGAGTTTAAGCCACCAGGTCTGGGACTCGAACCGTAGTTGACTACATGGGAGTCCAGTGACATAACCATTACACCAACTGCTGGTCCCAAAACGTTTTTATACAAAAGACTGAAAAAAAGACAAATTGGCTTGCATTCTACTCATCACATTTAAATGTGTAGGCAAAACATCCATATCTTATTGCTTTTTGTATGAGTTACAAACTCCCTAGTTGTTCTACAGTACTTTTTAGATTTTTACCGTAAGGCATGTACTGAAGAAAAACAGAGAGGGAGGGAAAGTGAGAAATCACGCTCCTCCCAAGGGGAACGGCATGTTGCAGTCTCTTCTTCATTTTCCTCTTGGGATTTTGGGCATGCATGCCCACGGGCCCAGCATGTTTTTTAGGCTGCCAGGCCTGGGACTTGGACATGAAGTCAGCCATGTGGGATCCAGCCACTTTAACTTCCACATCTCCAACTGGCCTGTGTTTTACAACTTTTTCATCATTTGTTTCTTTATTCATGATAGGGCATGATAGGGTGCATGTATACAGAAAGAGAGAGGGAGAGAGAAGAGCATTCTCCACAGGGTCTGGTCACTCTGTGACCCTCATCCTCTAGTCCTCCCGTCCTCTGGATCCTGGGCACTTGTGTGCACGTGTGTCTGGTGTGTTTCAGGTTGACCAGGTAGGGATTCAAACTTCAATCACCACGTGAGATCCAGCCTCTCTTAAGCAGTACATTCTGCTGCACCATGGAGATGACCCTACAACTTTTTATGTGACCCTGCAGACTAGAATTACAAAAAGAATAAGGAGTCCTAAAATAGCATTTAGATACTGTGTGTAAAGAGACTCAGCAGGAGAAAAAAAAATAAGTTCTAGATTGGCTAGGACTTCTGGTGGCTAGATTTCCCAAAGATATCCAGCACTAAATTTTGTTAGAATGGGTCAGCTAAAGTATAAGTTCGATAATTCACATAATGACATCAACCCTTCTCTCAACCCATTCTCAACTTCTTAGAGGTTAAGTATGATAATAAATGAAAAATGAAGAGTGACAAGGCCACCCTGGAATGCCAACATACTAAAACAATAGTTGGTTCTAATCTGTAGCTAACAAGGTAAAGCAATGTTTAAAATTCATTCATACTGATAAATGGTCAAAGAAATTGATGGATGTGGGTTTATTTAGTTCAGGAGAA